CAATTTTTTTCTTATAGTTAAATTAGTTTTATATAGTGTATCGGTATGTATAGCGATTTCATAGAATCAAGCAGACATCTGGCATTTAGATTTCATTTTTATTGTCAACGCTAACGTTAACTTAAATTATTTGGAGGTCATATTCGATAGGGTAATAAAGTGCAGATTTTTCTTTTCTGAAAAATTACATCAAGCTTTTAAATAACACTTTTTTGTTAAATATTCGATTCTTGAAACTATAAAAAAAGTACAAACAGCATACGTATATATATTTAAAAATATTTGTCCGCGCATTAATCATGTTTTTAACTACTGATGACTAGAAGCTCATTAAAAATAGTCTCCGAGCCCATATAATATAACAAGACCATTAAAACAAGACTGACGGTCTTTACATATCAGTCCTTAGATAATTATAATAGCATATATACAAATAAATAATTAATATTTTTTAAAATAAAGACCATCAGTCTTATATATTGATTCGCATATAATGATCACTAAATCGGACTTTTTCAGTAATTATTTTCATAGTTACAAGTACTGAAAAATCTGGGCTGTCCCGTAATTGTGCAGAATTCTATAATTAACACTTCATAGAATTGACAACTTCATCGCTATCGTTCATTCATGAATTTTTAGTCGTGAAGCAAAGATACATATTCCTGTTATGATTATAGTAATGGTAATATTCATTACGATAATGCATATGTATAGCTAGTTACGTAATTGGTGTTATAATGAATAAAACTTTATCAATAACTTCTTGCCTAAGAATAGATCATCTAATCAAGATTTGGCTTGTCTATAAATTTTCTAAAATAAGAAACTTGACAGTCTGATTAAAAGATCAGTCAGTAGTTGAACAAAGACTATCGCTATCGCTATTGTGCTACTCATTAAATTATCATTAAGAGATCGATCGACAAGAAACTAGATATTTCATGGAACAGTTCGTACTAGAGCCTATTTATAATGTAAACCTGTATTTCAATTGAAAATAAAAATTATTTTTAAAGATTGTCTACAACTTTTGTTGTTAAAAGCCTATTGCTTAACATTCACATTTGAAATTATTATAAATAATGATCTTTCTCTGAAATATATATGTAATTCTCAATCAAAAAAATGGAAAAAATAAAATCACTCTTATTCCACTTCTTATTGTCATATCAGTAATACTCTTAAATTCATTATCTTTTTCAATTCCGATTCCAAATGGGAACAAATGTATGTAAAAAATCGTTATTTAAAATGAAATTATTTGTTTAACCAGAATTTCTCTATTTTATAGCTATTCTTATCGATGACCGGGATCCAACTGCGTAAGCAATAAGATCCGATATAAAATCTTATAAATCCTGTCATTTGTAATTCCAACGACATTTTTATCTTTCTATGATCAAAGAATCGTTTAAATTATAATACTGATAATTTATGACATCATGTGTATCTGCTTCTCTTTTTATGAGCATATTTGATTTAGTGTTAACATTTATAAATGCAGTATACATTTGCATTAAGTTGCGATTATTTAGGCAGATTTTTACATGTAGTTAATAGAAGATTTTTCATATTTAAGCTTCTTGGTTATACAATTAATCCTTTCCTATGGTTAAAGACTTAATTATACGTTAACTTGTCTATTTAAATTTCAGTCATTATTAATAACAATATTATGATACTCATATTTTATCAAAAATTATTCTTATTGTTATATGAAATATTATTTTTTGTATTGTATTATCAATGTTACATAGTCAATCCTGTAATCAAAAATCCAGTTTATCGAGGAAAGTTTACTATAGTTGTTCCCGAAACCAAATTTGATTAATTGGTACTTCGGTTTAATAGCGTTGTATGTACATATTGTAATCAAATTTAGATTAATGAAACAAATTTTCTTGTATTAAGATTACACATAAACTCTATAATATGCGATTGTATGGAATACTTTTACAGCTACATGTACACTTAAAATATAAGGTTACTAATATACAAACGCTATATATCCTGCGCCAGTAGAATGGCCCATCATCAAGAGATTCAAAAACTATATTTTTTACGTATATTTACAGACCTATGTCACATTAATGTAGTTTTCTATGAAGATTATGAAAGTGTAATTTTTGCGTATTTTTTTGTAAAACTTGACATAATTTTGACAGATTTTTTCTTGTGAATTTACGTTTTAAATATTTTATGTAAAAAAATACAGTAATACAGTCCCCGGCGAAAATAATGGCAGACGTGTTTTTTGCTTATATCTTAATAGGATTTTTCAAAATTCGTGAAAATTTGTAAATATATTCATTAGGATGTTAGTAACAATATCACAAAGCAATTTAGCATAATATTATTATGTTAACTTACTTTGTGGTATTGAGAAATCTTGTTACTAACATCCTAATGATTTCTCATTAAGTTATAAGCAAAAAACACGTCTGACATTACTTTCGCCGAGGACTGTACGTAAAATTAACAAAGAATTTTACAGTAAAACTTAAATTATAGAGACCGTAAATTCTAATAAAAAAATTACCTGTAATTTGTAATGGATTACAGGTATTAAGGGAAAATTTCCTATAACACATACACAATTGAATGTTGTAAATATACTTGTTGTTAAGAAAATAATTACAGAATGTTTAAATTTAATAATCAATTTATAACGTGGCAAAAATGAAGAAGATACACAAACATTAGAGCTTTTAATGGATCCAATTTGGGAGTTGAATATCTTGCATAATTACGACATGTGGGTTCGAGAAACGATTTAAGACACAATACAATGTTTTATCAAATTGTAACCTTTTTGGTGTTCCATTAAAAATTTTAGTCTTGGTTATATAAATACGCTTGCAATACTATCTATCAATTTGAGTATGATCAATTATTCAAGTTTATAATGATTATTCTTGCCTGTAGATTTGATCTATGCGCTTTTTTACGTTCTTAATAAAATGTTCCTTATATGGTGCATAACGTTTAAAGTCATTACACGTTTGTATTTTATAAAATGGATAAACTTCTTTACTAAGAAGTAAATACAAAATTTAATCCGTGAATAGATAAATTAATTTGAGATAATTATATAAATATGATTTATGTTTCTGGATTTTAATTATTTGAGGTTTTTGCTGTGATAGTGAGTAATGAGAAATTCAAATTTTTATTTGAATAATCAATTGCTTTTTTCTATCTTTTTAAATCAGATATTTTGAGTTGATTTTTTAGTATGATCATTTCAATCAAAGAAATATTTTTAGTTGCAACACTTACTCGGTTTAGGTGTCAGGATATGCAGTTAAAGTCAAATGAATGTTTCAGATTAGGTAAGTTTCAAAGTTTGAAATTAATAAAAAGACAATCAACTACATAACTCAACATCCACTCGAAGATTATTTTTTAAAGTTTTATCCTACTAACTTTAAAGATGTTTATTTCCGATTGAACCTTTTTTTCATGCATCAAACTCGTTTGATAATTGTATCTCAGTTATCAGAGATAGCAAACTAAATTATTCTCTGAAAATATATATAATATCTATATATTGCCAGTTCTGAGTATTTGGTAAATATATATATCTCATGCTATATGGTGCAAACAGTCTAAAGCCATCCAATCCTTTAAACTGTAAAAGATTTGCATCCAAACACCTAAATCACAAGAAAAATACGTTAAAGTATAGTTCTTATCAAAGGTTATTTAGCGACAAATTTTTTTGTGGTTAAAGTATTTGGATGCAAATTCTTTACAGTTTAAAGTATTAGATATATCGTTATTATAAGTTTTTCAAATAAATCCGTTTAATTGTAAGATATCAATTATATAGAAATTTGTAATTAAAACTTTTTTCATAATAAACAAATCCAGTTTAACGCAGCTCTGATTAACGAGATTTACTATGTAAATAATATAATTATATTTGTTTGATCATTACATTAATACTTTTGTTAATATACGCGTATATAACATACAAAATTAAAGTCAAGATGGACAATATATTTATAGTAAACTAAATAATACAAGTTATTGAAGAATTTATACTTCAAATAATAGTACAATATTAATCTCAGAAAGCTAAATATTATTATAATTGAAGTTATGTTACCGAATGAATTAGAGCTCGTATAACTCGAGTCAGAATTTTATTGCTCACATTAACTCGAGTGCAATGACTGGCAATTCTGGCCAGCGCAATAGTGATTCCGGCCTACACTACATTTAGGAGGCCATATAAAAAATGTTAAAGTACCGGACTGGACAAAATTATAAGCTCACACTATGTAATTAACTTGAGTCATAAAAATTCTAACTTAAACTGATTTCGAGTGAGAACGAGTTGACTCGAGCCCAAGCACTAGAATGAACACTTGTATTTAAAATAGTATTTTTTGTATAATATTCATTAATACCAAATTGTCAAACTATTATATATGAATAAATGCATTTGTAACAACTGCACTTTAATTGGTTAATTAGGATCTGAGTTAGGGTTAGGGTTAAGATTCTGGATATGTGATTGGTTAATATTGATCCTATATATAATTATTTCTACTAAGAAATACATGAGAAATATTATTTATCATTTACCAAAATATTCCTAAAAAGAAATTAAATTTAATACTAAAAACTAAAAAATTAATAATCTTATTTATGTACAAAATATTTTCCAGCATTGTATTAAAATCTACTAAAATTAGTCTCTTTTGAATCTTATCGTTATATTAGAATTTATTGCTATTCGACTTGTCTAAAGTGAACTTTTCAGCACTTTTAAACTCTTAGTAAAAAAATAGCAATATCGATACATCAGATGCTGATAATGAAATACACTTAGTAAATAAATTTTTATATATCTTTTTAAAGAACTATTTATACTTGATTTTCACTACATGCATTGAATCTTTAAATTAATAATCCGCGCATTTCTCCATCACAACAACTGATAGATATTTAGTACTTTTCTTTGTATAAGACAGTGATTTTCATCCCAACTAAATTGCAATTGCTCCCTCTGCCAGGGTTAGAACGGAGGCAATAAGATCTTCCCCACATGGTCTAATCTGATCAAGAGGCAACAAAAATTTAATATCTGCTGGTTGATCTAGTTGAGGTCTCATCTCAATAGTGTAACTGTATTTTACATTATTGCCTTCGGCAAACCAATCGTCAGCACCTCCACCAGTAGGGGCTAGGTCGGCACTAAGCATAGACACGTAGTCTATATTGTTGGTTGTAGCTTTTATAGCTACTGCCATTTTATCGCCCAAGGGCTTCAAGACACCTTCGTTTGGACCAGGAGTTTTTTGATAACCGGGAACCCTTAAAACCATCTGACCATACGTGTGCACATCAAGCGATGCCACAATTTTTTGAGAAACGAATGATTTTGCATAAGAAGATACAGCGCTCGTTTCTGGCTCCGAAAACGCATATGGACCTTTGTACGTAATCTTTGAAGGATCTTTCGATTATTTTCGTTGACGATTTCATGATGAATACCCCAATTGCGATTAAGATCTACACCGATACTGCTGTCGCTATTAACGCGACGGTTTTTACGCCATAGTCTGTAAACATTATTGCTTGGATCGATCCACGTATACACGTAACCATCAGGATTGACAATGGGAATAATGATGAATTCAACTTTTTCGAGGAGGTTGGTAATGCGAGAGTTTCTATTGAAGCCTTTGATAAGCGCATTGGTCAGGTACATAACGGACGATATTGCGGCCCATTCGCGGGCATGTTGTCCACCTTGAATCCATACAATGGGCTTAGGCGAGTTTAACACAGTGTTCATATCTGTGATGTGAATTACTGGAATATCGCGATACTCGATGGTCTTACCGATAGATGGAATAAATTTTACTAACCTAGGATAACGGCTAGACCAGCTCTCAAGCTTTAGTTTGAATGCGTCGTAACTTTGAAAATCGTCGAAAAAAAATATCTCGAGGTGCAAACCATGCAGAATATCGACAGTATCAAAAATTTTGATAATATTGAAAGTATCGAAAAGATTGAAAAGATTGATGAAGCTGCGTTTTTTGAGAGATCGCTCTTTCTTCGTCAAATTTTCAGACTTTGATGAAACAGACCACTTGGTGGGAGTATCGTTAAGGGTATCTGGAAAAAGCGCTGCAAATGAGATACCTGCATTGAAGGATTGACACTTATCCTGCTTTACCATATCAATTATAGCGTTTATTCCGCTAAAAATTTGATTAACCTGTTCGATACATAGTTCGCTTGCTTCACGAGCTTTTCTTCTTTCTTCTTCATATTTCAAGAGCTCATCACGGACGCTATTGACGATTACTCGACAATTAGTTACCTTTCCTTTCTGTAATTTTTCCTTATCCTCTGGTCCGATCAGGAGGTCGGAAGCAACGTCAGCTGCGATGACCTCAGACAGGAAAGAGATATTAGCATTGCTGATGAAGCTTAATTGATCCTTGGTGAGTTTACATTGCCATACTGAAGACCAATTTAATAAAAAGTATTCAGTATTCCTGTTATATATACTAACAATGGTGTGTCATTTATACCTTGGTAATCTTTGCAATCTTTGCAAGTTCCATTTGGATCGCCAGAAACATAAATAGATATCAAAAAATGATTTGATGAAAGGAAAAGCAGCAAAGTAATTAACAAAAACTTTGCACCCGAATTGTATTTAAAAAAATAATTTAAAAACATAGCTGAGTTTATTATCAAGTATTGTAAAAATTCAACTGGAATATTAGAAGTTCAATTTATACTAATACGATGTCGATATCTTGTGATCAGAAAAGTACGTACAGTGTATCGGTATTGCTAATTACGTAGCATTTTTTGCATACAGTAATTGTGAGTATGTATGTCTTCTTCCAAATTTATTCTCTTGTTGTGAATGAATGATTTTAACTTTGTCTGCATCTCCCAATTGTTCTCGTATGGTGACTGAATGATTTTGACTATGTATATTTTCACAAATTATTTTCATATGATGAACGAAATGATTTATTATGGTGAATGAAATGATTTTGACTATGGTTTTTACTATATTGAACGAAATAAGTTTGACTATGATGAATGAAATAATTTTGACTATGATGAATGAAATGAGTTTGACTATGGTGTATGAAATGAGTTTGACTATGGTGTATGAAATGATTTCAACTATGGTGAATTAAATCATTTTGAATATCTCTCTTCCTTTACAAAATATTCTTACTTTGTATGTTGAATGCAACAGTTTGAATGTGTCTGTAGCCGAAAATAATATTAAGTTTACGGAAAATTCAAATGCCGAAATTCTTTAAAATGACTTAATTTAAAGCCTAAAATCCATAAATTTTGCCTAAACTCGAAGCTAAAATCTGAAATATTTTACTGAAACTATATTAATAAGTTATAATCAAATAATTGGTCATAAAAATCTAATTTTATACGATATTTAAATTCAAATAATTGTCTTTACTCCAATTTGCCCAGTTGAAAATCGACTTGTGGCCTGTATACACAGAAAAGTAACAACGATAATAGTGATATAAATTCAAAAAAAATGAAGTCATTCCACGATTCGAAAAAAGAAATAGATCAATAAGTTATATCAATGTCATAAATTCAAATGTGTTTCCTCTTTCATGAGTTTGAAATGAGACAGATCGCATATTTTCGCGCTTCAATTCGAAGTATCAAGAATAGCAACGAAAGAAAAGTGAAGTGCTATAATGTTATAGAGGGCGGTCTAGATTGAGTTCGGGTGCAGTATAATGAAACGCATTTGCTAATCCCCAAGTTTTGATTGGTTGAGGATATTAAAGGTTAATTTTAGCGTTAGGGTTAGGGTTAGAGTGGAGATCAAAGTTATATGTGAAATTGCTTCCCGACATTTTTTATTAGTGCTTCAAGGCAGATTTAAGCTTTCGTTTTCGGTATATTTCATTTTTAATTTTCTTGTGTCGGATTTGTTTTGCCGGATTGATAAAAAATTTTATTGGTTAATCTAGAAGACCCGGTGTGCAGTCAACCAATCAGCGATGGAAATTACTTGCGTCAAATCAGAACTTGGGGAAATTAGTAAATGTTAATGAAACTCAGTATTTGCTGCAAAATTGTTTCTGGGTCTCTTGAACAGATTTTGGATATAATAATATTGTGGCTTTTCAAATTATGAAATCACTTAATTCAAGAGTCAGATAAACATGTTAGCAGATTTTCAGATAGCATAAACAATACTCGCTTCCATGCATAATCCAAAATTCATGTCATTAAATAATAGTTTTGAGATTAAATTAGTATTATTTTATTTCATGGGAGATTAGGAATAAAAGCAAAAGTTATCTGAATGTGAATCTGACTTTGTTATCTCACCTTTTACCACTGATCAGATTACAATGATAAGAAGAGGTAAAAAAAACTTAATGATCATATTATTTTAACACAAGCAAATGAAACTTTTTCTTTATTTTTCTGCACAAGTTCTAAAAATCAAATTTGCATAGTATGTCAAAAAAGAAATTTGATAAGTAATTAATTGATTGATTATATTCTTTTTTCTAATGTTTGAAGTTTGAATAATTTTCATTCATCACTTATAGTAACATGTACTATTCATGTAAATATTTACTCAGTTATATATTTTACTAATTATTTCACAAAGTGTTATATAAGATCTTCAAAATCTTCTGTATTGTAATTTTCATAATAATTCACTTGATCAGAAATAATATTAGTATTTTAATAGTATTTGAAATATTATTCCATTTTTCAGCATTATATTATTTTTTATTCTTGAATTCTGAAAAATTTAATAACTAAATTTCAAAGATAAATAGAATTTAAAACAAGTTTATTATATATTTTATTGATATTATCATTTTGAAAAATGATAATTACTTTAAAGATAATTAATAATGAATTATATCTTGATATTAAAATGATATTTTGAAAGAAATTCATATTTTGATAATATATAATGCAAATAATAATATAACTTATCAAAAAAATTTCTGAAAGGTACAGAAAATTTTTATAGTTAAATTTTTCTATAATCACATTTCTCTATAATTATATTATTTTACTTTTTTATTTATTTATATATATATATATAGTAAAAAAAATTTTTATAGTTATAGTCTCTCTATAATTATCAAATTTTGCTTTTTTAGAATAATAACTATAGAAGAATTTTACTATATTATATTTTAAATTAGTAAATTAATAATAAAAATAATAATTATAAAATATAATATATTTAATAACTAATAAAGTATATTTTTTGTTCTTTTTTATTATAATAATAATTTAATTAATATAATATTTAAAGAAATTGTTACTTGAAAAGTGTATATTTATATTTAGAGAGAAACTACTATAAAAAATTGTAAAAATTACTATTTATAATATAAATATACAAAAATAATATAATATTTTTATTTGATAAAAATTTAAATTTTGATAAAATAAAAATATATAATGCATAATATCTAAAGTTATTAAATATTTTTATTTTATAAAATATAAATTTTTAATAATTTTAAATATTCTATATTATTTTTTATTTTTTGTTAGTAATATAATTTTTTGTTTATATAAGAATAATTTATAAAAAATTAATAAAATTTGTAAAATAAAATATATGTATTTGTAATTTTTTGTTATATAAAAATAAGTTAATTTAGTTTATTATATATAATATTAATATTATAAAAATTATAAAATTTTATATTTTTATACAAATCTTTTGTATTAAATTATATTTAGTAATATAAAATATAATATATATAAAAATTTGCAATAAAATAATTAATAATATTATATAATAATAAATATAATTAATAGAAAATTATATTTGTTTTTGTTCTAATTTTTTAATTATTATAATAATTTATTGAATTTATATATATAATTAATAATATATTTTAATATATTTTAATAAAATAATTTAATTTAATATATTAATTATATATAATAGAAATAAAAAAAAATGGAATACTAAAACAAATTTATTAATAAACTTAGTAAAAATATGAAAAATGTGAGTTTTTCTCTTTATATAAAAGTTTTCAATTTTACTAATAAATAATTTTTATTTTTATTTAAATATAAAGATAATA